CCCCAAAACCCCAAAACCCCAAAACCCCATGAAACGAAATTAATTGTTCGAAAATTGATCAGTAAAATTATTTTGATCAAATCATTAGAGTGCACAGTATAAATAAATTTCTGCAATAACATTAGTGAGTTAAGTTATTTTATCAATAGTGATGATTATTTAATTGAGTGAAATTATACGAGCAATTTATAATTAATAAACGTAGAAATGAATGCATTGTGTTTAAACAATCTCATGCAAGGTGGCATGCCTCTCTTTACATCTAATTACCAGGAAGTATTGGTAAGTGAAGATGAAGGACTTTCCATCAAATTCAACTAGAAAGTGCATTTGGTCGACTCTATTGTGGGAGTCAAGAAGACTAGTTGCAAAAACTCACTATTTCAAATCTCAATGTATTGTGACTGCTGCAAAGATCGATTGTATTGGTTTAACCTTAAGGAAATAAGCCAAAATGGATCCAAGCAGCTTGAACTCCTTGCTTCTCAATTCGAGGAGTTTCACATGAATGGGGTTGAGTTTTCAAGCCAAAACACTTATTATGCTGAGGAGGATTTCGATGAAGATTTCTTGAATGGAACCTTTGATGATACTATGAACGATGATAGAGGCAAAAATATGAATGATGGGTACTTTGATTTCTCAGATGAAGACGAAACATTTGAGAGAAGAAAGAAGTCCTAAAGATTAGGACAGAAGTGCTTTGCAAAGAGCAATGAGCTGATTGAGCCAATGTATCTCAGACATCACTCTTTGTCCTATACCGCTCGCAATTCCCAATTCCTTTAACAATTCACTCTTGGGCAATAGAATCTCAATTAATCGAGATAAGATTTGTAGCATTAGCTCCAGTATAATCATAGAACCATGGGATTTAATGATGAGAACTAGTAAATTCTTTTCAATAGAGATAGATTAAACCCTAACACTCAGCCTCTGACAGTTAGTAAGAAGCGTAAGTTTCCCGAAATTTCAACTAACGTCCATCAGAATGCTGATTTTAAATAAAACTCAAATGTTGGTAGCTTATACAGAAGATAAGAGTGCAAGAAAAGGAGAATGAATGATTAGGAAAAAACTTAAAACTAGCACTCTTTTCACATTAACAACCAACAATAAATAGAATTCAATTAGTATAATGCAATAAATCTGCAATAGAATTCTTATCAAGGCCAAATATAACGATAAGAAATAAGAACAGAAGACTAGCAGATTCATTGTAATCAAAGTAGCAACAATAATGATAGAACTTTCTTTGAATAGCAACAATCTAGTATTTCCTTTGGATTTAATCAAAATCTTCTATAATAAACCAACAGTTCTCTCTGTTCCTCCAATCTCACATTTGGGCAGCATGAGAATCATTAATAAAACTTCAACTAATTATCTTATAATAATCATCCTAATCATTTGTAAAATTCTCAAAATCAAGGGAGCACTAATAGTTCATTTGGACTTAGGTTTAAAATTAATATGCACCGCTGAACTTGATATAATCATTAATTTATATTAGCATTCAAATTAAACTCTCTTCTTCTGTATCTTACTTGACGGGGTTTTGGGGTTTTGGGGTTTTGGGG